AAACGAAACAAATCAAGTCGAGAGGCACAATGACTGACAATCGAACGGCGCATGGACAGGTCAACTATTTTGCATACATCTACTATAACTTATGGAACTCGTCGTCGTGGTCGTCGACCACGTTGTAGTCACCGTTTGTTGTTGTTGTTATTGCTGCCGCTACTTCGCCATGCATTATTGTCAATCAAGTGAGGCTGGGGAACGCTGGCTGGCTGGCTGGCTGCCTGGCTAAGATCAGCAGCCGTGCACAAAAGTAGTAAAAGGATTACGTACGATTGGCGATCATCGAGAGCCACGTCGACGATCGACCTTTATCGCAACTGAGACTGCGACTGCGATCTCTTCAAGCAAATGCATGTGACAACAAGCGAGCGACGTATGTCGCAAACAATTACTTGGGATTGCAACACAAGAGACAGGTCGCTCGGCCAGCCGGCCGGCCGGCCAGTCGGTTCGCCAATTTATGCGCACTCAGCAGCAGCAGCCCCTGACAGTCACCAGGCCCCAAGGCATTCTCAATTAGAGATGAGCAATAATTACATGCACATGTCCGTGACTTTTTCCCCCAATAAGCAGTATTTCAAAAATCTCCAAATCAACGCTCAGACCTACCTCAACCAGCTCAGCAGAGTGGCCCCAAATTTTGACATTTCATAGGAACTGTGCTATCTGCCACCAAAGGGAGGGGCCTACAAGCTGTTACAGGCTAACGAAAACAAAGCTATTTCATGAAAATAAAATTAAAACTTGTATAATAAAAGTTTATACACAAACTGCAGCATCAAGCCTGAAAGACACTCCGACATAAAGAAGGCTACACAATGATTATAACTAATGTTTGTTTTGGCCAATTTTCATTACGTGTTGATTAAAGTTTCTTTTTTTCAACAACTTCCAAAGTTAGTAATATTAGCATAGGTTTTCGAAAAACGAAATGTATATTACTTTAAATAAATTCTAGAGTGCCCATTAGGGACTATTAGAGTAAGAATTAAAGCATTATAAGCAGACATATTTAACTGGCATAAATAAACAAAAAAAATGGTTAAAAACTGCTTTCATTAAGAAGATAGGAAGTTCGATTAAGAAAACGTGTGTTAAATCGTTGTTAGTTGAGCAATAAACCAAAAAGGCATGGCTTGGAAATAATGATTGTAATCATCGCTGATTCTCGACGAATATGTTAGAACCGATAAAATAAAGACATTATAATACCAGCAGATTGTTGTCACTTAAATTAACTTTATTATAACTTCGTTTGTGCGCGTTTGTGTTTCGTATCTGAAAAACCTCATGACAAAACTTGAAATATTAAACTGCCATCAAAGCAGCATTTCAGCACTATTGGAGAAGTTTAATTAAAATTTATTTATCCTTTAATCCATTACTTGTCTCTTTTGCTTTGCATTTATTATTAAAGCTTTTCAGCATTAATTCCAAAACATTGCACCCTGTGTGACAAAATTCTGCCAAAAATTCGGGCTTTAATAAAATTAATTTTTCTAAAAAGCGTTTATTAGAATAAAAAAATAAATAAATTTATTAGTATTATCATGTCTAACCATACACTTTAGCTATAATCAAAAAATTAAAACTAGGGTATTAATTGAAATAATTACAATAAAAAGATGAGTCTTTTTATCTTTAGTTGCGAAAACAAATAACTTTATTTCATTTTTCTGCAGATTAAGTAATTATTATTTATAGGTTATTAATTGAAATAATTACAATAAAAAGATGACTCTTTTTATATAGTGTTACAATATATTATTCATACGCACTGTAGCGCCAAATTTATAAACCTAAACCAAATGTAAAAGAGTATTTAATTTTAGATCGAATACCTTTAATTGAGTATTTGTTTCAGAAAAACCAAGAAAGTCCTTTAAATTTTAAAAGATTAAGCTATTTTCAAAGTATTTTAATAACATCAATAGACGAATATTAAAACCTATTAGTACACTTTTTGTATTTAATATTTACTTGATAAACAATAATTTTCCATTTATATGTACACCTAGTTGGGAAATATTCCCTACATATAAGCAGCTCTATTGAATTAAATTGTAGGTCAGATCAGTAGCAACGATCCCCAATCAAGTTTTAGTTTTTAGCATACAAATTAATTATATTTTAGAAGACAGCTTTGGTGAGTAGTTTTTGGTGAAAAAAAAACTATACTTTAGTATAGTAACGTTATTCGATTTCTTTGAAATATGTCATATTCATGACATACAAGTAGTTATGTGATTTTTCAGGTAGACTTTGAAAATAGGTTTTGTTGTTGGAGAAAACTAGCTTTATTAGTTTTAATTAAAATAACATTATACCTAATTCTGTTTTTACACGGTAGATTGGTTCCAGAAACATATTCAAAACAGGTGTTGGTTCCTTATCTCTAAAGAAATATAAATGCAATTTTTTAATTTTCAAACCGTTTAAAAATAGACCGTTTAAAGACAGAATTCGTGTATACTTGTATTTATGGCATAATTAATATTTAAAATAGTCATAAATTGTGAAAGTTTTTACAATCACTTGAATAGGAAAACATTGCCACCATGATTGGCTGTGAAATGAAAATCACAGATTCGTGCATCTCTATCGTCAAATGTAAGTTGGGCGCACACTCGGAGCAATGATGTGATTTGGATTTGCAAATGGCCAGGCCTGAACGGGTGGAAACAATGCGTGAATAAATCAAGCTGCTGCCAATATTGGGCAGGGTTGAATGACGACAAGTTTGAGCGGCTCTGCTCGTGCTCTTAACTTGGCTTGTTGGCGGCAGCACTGCTGGCCATCGGATGTTGTTATGGCTGTTGTTGCTGCTGCTGCTGATGTTGCTGCTGCTCGCTCGTTGCTGCTCGTTGATGCCTTGATTGATGGCGTCTTGATCGTTCATCAAACGCGACCACTACACTTTTGCATTGCAGGCGGACAACCATTGGCATTGCCACTGCAATCGCTGCCCAAATACATCACTGGAGGCGCGCGCGTTCGACAAGTTGTCGCAACATTGACATTTGCATTCGAGCGCATCCTGAGTGCTTGACTGACTGACTGGGTGACTGATTGTTTGACAGCTGTAGCACTCGCTTGCCTTCAAGCTGCTGCTGCTGGTGCTGCTGCTGCTGCCACTGCCGATGTTGATGTTGATGCTGATGAGGATGATGATGATGCACGCCTGTCACTTTGACATATGTACTGTCGCGCATTTGTCTCCGCACGATCAGCTGGAGTTGGGGGCCAGCTTTGGCTTTTCATATGCAAAGTGGCGCTGACAATTTGCATGTCAATCGCTCCCAGCCGATTGACAAATGTTGCCCACTTTGGTCATTCAATGCTACACATGCGAATGAATTGACAGCAACTACGTATTTGACGCTGACGCTGATGCTGACGTTTTGTCGTTGCCAGCATATGTCAGCTATGATTAACGTCAATATCTGACAGCCGTTTGACAGTTGTTGCATAAGCATCAGATCGAAATGATTGCTGATCGCCAATCGCCGATTGTTGATTGCCGATTGCCGGCATTTGCAATTGACCGCCCAGGGTGGGTGTGGGTGTGGGTGTAGGTGTGTTTGCCTCCATAATGTCTACAATTTTGCTTCATTAAGTGTTGTTTTTAAGGCTTGATTTATAATCATGGCGGCAAAGATTGAAGCTTAGCCTCTGGACTTGAAAGTTTATTATAGGTTTGCTGAATGTGCACTGTGTGCACATATTTATTCCACCAAATGTTAAAAAGTATGATTGTACAGCAACAAATTATGTTAATCCATACTGAAATAGCTTATGTATGTGAGTGCTGCGAACAAATTTTCCACGATGTTAAAAGTTAAGAAAAGTTACAATTTCTTGCTTCAATTACTTCCACATGAGCTCACAAATATTTAAGGAAATAGACAAAAAAGCATGAAAACTAGCCAAGTCTTGTGAAGCTTTTCATTATTTATTATTATTTTATTTATTATTTAATTTTTTTTATTTTTTATTTTATTTTTTTATTTATTATTTAACTATATAATCAGCCTGCCAAACCGCCACTATTTACTGCTACCACAAAATTCTTGCCTCCTTTTGAATAAAGCTATAAGGGCTGTGCTACTAGTGTGGAGGTATACGGTCTCCAAACTTAGGTTGGTAATGTAATGGTGAATAAAAAGCTTTGGGTTCTTTATTGTTTTGCTTACTTTATGCTTTAAGTTTTGTAACACTTTAATTTTTGTTTAGGCAGCTCTCATTTTTAAAACATGCGTACTCAACTCCCCTTCTTCCTCATTTTGAGTTGCCAGCTTGTCCTTTTTTAAGATGCTGCCATATTGTTTTTCTTATACGTTATATCATTATCTTTATGGTTTTAATTTAAAACGTCTCGTTTCGTTTGTGGTTCGACGCTGCAGTCACGACAAGATTATAATAATATTTTTAGTAAAAAAAAATTAAATTGAATTTCCGTTTACCCGCCTGAGATTTATTGTTGTTGAGGAACTGAATTAATAAATTAATTTCACAGCAATTTCTAGGTGAAATTTTATATTTACAAAATTGTACTTTTTCTATTTTAAATAAATATAATTAAATAATTCTAGGTTGGTAATAACTGTGTTTAGTTCCGCTTGAAGTGCCAGCCAGAATCATATATCAAACAATTTAAAATTAAATGATTTACAACATGATTTAAACATTAAATATATAAATCTGCCCACTGTGGCGCACACACCCGCCAGTAGCCTGGCATTTGACGACAATTGGGGCTTGGCTTATGGCCCATAACACTTTCCTAGTGCTAGTGTGCTTGCATGTCAAAGCCTGGCCGACAAACTATTCCCCTGTGCCGTTCAAAGACCGCGTTAATAAAATGCAGCGTCAAAATAAAACGCCGCATAACTTGGCACTGTGTGCCGGACGTAGTTCGATAGTTGGAATGTCCCAGGAGCAAATTTATTTCGTATTTGTATTTTGTATAAACTTTGTTTGTATCACACACATTGCAGGCTACCGTGAGAGCGCCTTTGCCTTCGCCATATCGGCGGCTGGCGTGGCCCACAGCGTAGCGCGCGCCTGCAGCCAAGGTCGTTTGATGTCCTGCGGCTGTGATCCGACCATCAATCGCAAGACGCTGAACAAGAATTTGCGCCAATCACTGGACAAGGAGAAGAAACAATTTCTGCAGTATCTGGAGACAAACCAAATACTGACGCCCGAGGAGGAGAAGAAGTACGAGCGCTCCAAAATAGCAAGTCGCTGGAAATGGGGCGGCTGTTCGCACAACATGGACTTTGGTGTCGAGTACTCGAAATTGTTTTTGGACTGTCGCGAAAAGGCCGGCGATATACAGTCGAAAATCAATTTGCATAACAATCATGCGGGACGTGTGGTAAGTGAGAAAGTGCGGGGAATAAGAACATACATATTTAAGACATCATTAAAATGTTTGCTAACTTTGAAGGGTGTAATTTAAAAATAAATAATTTTTTTGTGCAGTTTATGTTGCTGGATAGAGACAATGCTAGAACTAGAACAATATAGGTTAGGTAGCTATAGCTGAAGCATTATAGATTTACTCTTAAGCCAAAAAGTGATAATGTGAGGTCATTTAAAGCAATGGGCTTTTAGCTGTTAATCTACTTGGCGATCTCCAGGTTTGTTGTATCGGCGAGGTCGTCTAGAAAGGATTGCAGAAAGAGTCTGCTCTAAGCTGGACACTCAGAAAGGAGGTGCTCATGGCTGTCTGCAGTTTCTGCATTATCGTTAGATGGGATGCCTACGGGATAGTAGCCTAACTAGAACTAAAATAGCATACAACACTACAAAAAATGATGTTTTAACTAGTGTTAAAAAAGAAGAAACCAACCACAGATCAGCTAAGCCTTTAGAAACGATTTAATTTAAAGAGACATTATTACATGTTATCTGAGCTTCCTTTTGTACTTGGCTAACTAAGCTAATTATAGCTTAGCTTTAGTTAAATAGTTGTATCAGATATATTAGTATTCCTTTCTTACTTGGCTTTAGTTAGCTGAGCTTTAGTTAAGTAGTTGTATCAGATATATTAGTATTAGTATTACTTTCCTACTGGTCTATACAGGGTGCGCCATCTTTTATGTCGGTATGTAAACATTGAATATTTTTGAAAATAAACAACCGATTTTCAAGTATGAGATATTTTTATTTAATCTGTACAATTTCTTCAGACTAATTTTTGAAAACTGGTCTAGTCAAGTCAATCGGTTCACTAATGACAAAGTTATTCAATATTTACATACCGACTTAAAAGATGGCGCACCCTGTACTTACATTAGCTTTAGTTAAGTAGTTGTATCAGAAATATTAGTATTGGCCAGTTAGCCATTTTGCCAGCATTTAAATCAATAATATAATCGAATCAACAAATTGAACCTAGCGCGTAATTTTTCCTTGACTTTCAGGCCGTCTCGAACAATATGGAGTTCCGCTGCAAGTGCCACGGCATGTCGGGCAGCTGTCAGCTGAAGACCTGTTGGAAATCGGCGCCCGACTTTCACACCGTCGGCAAGGTGTTGAAGCATCAGTTCCGCAAGGCTATACTGGTGGATCAATCGAATCTGGGCAATGGGGAGCCAGTTGTGGTGCTGAAGCGGGCGCGCAATAAGAAATCGAATGGAGGCAGTGGCGGCTCCAATTCCGATGATGTGGACATCATCGATATGGGTGGCGGTGTGGGCGCATTGGCTGGCGATGCCATGCGCGATTTGGATTTGGAACGAACGCGCAATCGAAAGCCCAGTTCGGATAAAAATGCGGCGCGTCTGGCGCGCAAATTGGAGACATCGCTCTTCTACTACCAGCGCTCGCCAAATTTTTGTGAGCGCGATCTGGTCGCCGATATACAGGGTAAGTAGTACGAGTGGTAGAACATTATAGTATATTGCCAAGTTGTTGGCTAATTAAAAATGATTTATTGACACTTGCTGGCCATAATTTTGATTTGCAATTTGCGTCTGAATGTATAAATCACGAATGCAAATTAATAACAACAATTTATTGTAAGATACCCAACAACTGCGCTCCAAACATGCCACATAACTCACAAAGCAACAACAACAGCAACAACATGAAGCCTCCAGTCAGCAACAGCTGCGCATGCGCTCGACACGGGCACGTCTCGTCTAACTGCCAATTGCAATTTTCGTTGGCCATTTTGCTGCTACCACTCGCATTTGCTTTTGTTTTTATTGCCACTGCTGCCGTGGCTGTTGTTGTTGCTGTTGTTGACACATTTGCTAGCTGCTCAGCCAGTTTAAAGTGTTAATTACGAGGCAAATTTATAATTAATCGTTAGTGACTACCGCGACTCATGTCACGCCCCGAGCAGCCCACAAAACTGACGCTTGATTCATGCTCCATGTCTAGACAAATGGCGGCAATTAAGTGCGGCAATTACCGTCTAACAATTATGATACTTTGCTGAAAGTTTAATTTAATTGTTTATTTATGGCTTTTTAATAGCCTCAACATGTACACCTCGAGAACTGAAATGGACAATGCAAATTGTTTTATAAATAGTAGCTCGAACAAGGCAACCATTTAAATTAGCAATTAAAGCTAGACGATCTTCTTCTTTATCATCCATGCTACGAATGGAACTAAACAAAACATTAATTTAAAATTAGTTATTGTTGCTAAACTTATTTCATCTCATCAAATGGCTAAAGGCTTAAAGGATTTACATGACACACACGACATTCTTGAAAATTTAGATTTTCAAATGGGTTTAAGGTTTAAGAATTTCCCAGCTACTCCAGAGCATTTTAATAGAGTTAGGAATGCTCAAAATTAATTCAGCCGTTCTACTGAGTTGAGACACTATTCAAAAATTCTTTGAAACCGCACGAAACTTTATGAGACTTCTTGCGATCAGACAAAGATATATTGAGATTATAAAGTATATAGATTCAAAAATTCAAAACAACAATAAAGGAAAGCATTGTAGGAAAACTCAAAGTATTATTCTAAGAGACCAAAGATATTTCAGTTCACACAATTCATATTGCCTCAACAATTGCCCAATCATCTATTTTATTTATACTCGAATGTGTAGCTTAAGACAAATTAAAATTAAACTAAAATCGTTAATAAACTATTTTTAGTTTAAATTGTAAACAGTTCAGCATTAAAATATATGCATATTATAAAGTAACATAACTAAAAACAATTAATTTATTTTATTGATCCAATACAAAAACCAATTAAAACCGAAATTTATTACAAATTAATATTTTCTGGTAATAAAACAATTGAAAATTAACATGCAGCTGAAGAGCATGTTCTTATATTAAAATAATAATACATATCAACTAAAATAAAGTATAGAGATTTGCTGAAATCGTTATTACCATTTAATTTAGTTTAGTGCGCAGAATTTTAATTAATAATACAATTAATAATTAATACAACGACGGCTTTGAAATTGCAGATAAACATTTTTGTGAACCCTGCAAGCGCATTGGGATGTTCTTGGCATTGGAAAGTTGGGCAGAATTGTATAGTTTGGCTTATGGTTAGGATTTTCAGATAAAGTTAAGTAGTACAAAAATGTATAGGCTGTGAGATCTAGGTGTTTATACAGACAGACGGATAGAGAGACAGACAGCGCTAAATCGATTCTTTCAAGGCCTTCTACTGCTTGTTACACTTTGCATAAATATGAAAGTTCAAAAGCACGTTGTGGCTTACAAACACTAGCCAATACAATTTGGCCAAAGGAGTAATAATAATATTAATATTATATAATAGATAATTAACATTATAGTTAATAACAATATTCTTCAAAATATGTAATAGAAGCATTATGAAATGAATGTATTATTTTCAAGCATCGACAAATAATAATAACTATTAACATTTGTTTTCCAGGAACTGTCGGTCGAAAGTGCAATCGCAATACCACCACCAGCGATGGCTGCTCCTCCCTCTGCTGTGGGCGTGGCCATAGCCAAGTGAAGGAGCGTCGAGCCGAACGTTGTCGTTGTAAATTTCGATGGTGCTGCAGTGTGGAGTGCGAGGAATGCCACGTCGAGGAATGGATTAATGTTTGCAACTGAATGCAGACTCAGCAAAAGACTTCTGCCCCTCAGAACACAACATCGGCAGCAGGCACAGCAATATTTAAAAAAAACTGCAATAATATGAAAATTTAATAAAGAAAATGACGCGAATTTGTTTTAACTAATACGAACTAGGCTAGTTGTGGCAGGCAAGGAACAGATTAATGAGAATTTTCTGCAATAGCCGAATAAGTTAATCAGTTTTATATAAGTATTGCAATTAATTATATATAGTATTATAGTATTATTCCAGTATTCCTCTAAAGGTCTCGGAGCATGTCTACCCTATTAATTCATTTGTACATTTTGTGTTTAGTATTAGATTTATAACAACTATGCTATTTGGAAATTAACATTTGAATACTTGCATATATATTTTGTAAATACAAAGCATAATACGATATGTAACTAGTCTGTCAATCAGCTGACTTTCACTCTTAGACCCCCCCCCCCCCCCTACCTCCACCCAGCCCCACCCACTTAGTCTAACATATTTAATTGCGTCTCTTTATTTGTTTACTTGCCGCTTCTGTTGCTCATTGCACGTGAATGTCGCGCTGCCCGCTGAGCTGTTAATTCAATTAGATTGCGATTGTGTCTAAATAGGCGCCAAGGTGCACAGAACGAGCCACACTCGCAGCTCTCAGTCTCGGCCTGTCCCAGTGTCCAAGAAGTGACTCGTCGTCGAATAATGCCTTGGCGCGTTTGCAGGGCTTCCCGTGTTCAGTAAAAAGCCACTGAGCGCATTTGATAAACTTTCAGTTGGCTTTCTGCAGCGCTACGTGCTGCATGTGGTGCGATCGGTTCGGACAATTTTGGAAAACCCATCAAAACATTTGAACAAAAGGTCCCCAACCAAATTACTGGAGAGCAAAAGGTCTGTCACAAAAGGACAATATTTTGGTGGTGTGTGCTAAATGTTGGTGCCTCGTGCTTCTAAATCGTGTCAAGTTGTGAGTGTCATAGGTCAGTGTCCACAAATTTCAATTGACATGGCTAAGCACTAAGCGAAATGTTGGTAGCATTCAAAGAAACACTTCGAAAGGAAATGCTGTGTCAGATAAGTCTTTGGGGAACTGTTGGCAACATCTTTCCAAACTATTCCACCCTTCTGAAATGATTCTTTAGTCTAAGGCGATGAACTAAATTCCCAAATTTTTGCAGCAGAAGAATACTGTATTTCATTAAAGAATGCTCAAGGGAAATTTTACAAATTGTCTGCTCGTCTTAAATATTTAAACTGTAGGTACGTACATCATATTTTTAATTTACTCAGACAAAGATTTGTGGTACAGTAACTATGGTCGAAACAGGACCGAAACTATTACTAAAACAAGTAGCTATACTAAAACCGAATTTAATATATTTCTTATTTATTTCTTGTATGTAAGATAGGTCGCTACGTATTCGAATATATTAGAACATTACTTCATTTCTCTCATTACAAAATCTAGGATCAGATATACTGATATGATTATGATTGCCTTCAACAAATTATGGCTTGATGGCAATGATTTCTTTAGCCATTAGAAAGTCGAGGCGATATGTAGTTAAAGGTATTAAGACACTACCCCTAGAATCAGCAATTATTTAAGTTCTAAGCAGAGCGAAAATGATTGTTTAAGGAATAAAGCAATTTTCGCATTTTAAAGCTAATTTTCTTCAAATTTCATTTTTTTTAAATCAATTTTTAACTTGACTATTAAATATTTTACTTTACAAACACGACTAATTTATGTTCATTTTATTGTAAGCAAAGTTTTTAATTTAAACGATATCTAAATCGGCGAAGAATTATGTTGCAGAATAAACATTTTAAAAGGTATTATAAATATATTTAAAATAAAACTTTATAAACATCAAGCATTTTTATAAAATTCCATAGGATAGGTATTGCCATAAATCACAATTTTTTCTAAGGTTCCAACACTAATCCATATAAGTAGATCAGTACTAATTAAAATATAAATGTATACACCCACAAGACTGGTCCGTATAGGTCAGGGTAAGAAACAACGCTCCATTAATGAATTGCAGGCATAGCAAGAAACAGCCAAGAATAACAAAAGAAAAACTTATTTTCAAAAAGACACATCATACTTATATAGCGTCGAAATAATTCGATAAATAACTATAAATCGTTCTCTCTTGATGAGCTGACAATGAACGGTCAGAAAATATTTATAGTCCTTACAACTTCTTCTTTCCAAACATTTAAATAATTGCTTTTAGATCTGACAAAATGCAATATCTTACATGCCTTAACTTAAGGTCCTGCTTCTCTGAGCCACTCAATTTCTTTTTCCATTAGTGCACTAGATTTGATTGTTTTCGAATTTTCGAGACTTATATAACCGCAGTGGCACCTAGTGTTACCGCAAATACCAATTGGCGGTGTCACAAATTCCAATTCCACTTGACTTGCCCCGAGAGCGCGACCAACCCTGTCCCTGTACTGGCCCATATACAAGTATTCTTAGCACTTGCAGAGCTTCCAATATTCGCGCTGCCTTACGCAACTAGACACTAATGCAATTTGCAGCAGCATCAACTAAGCTCAGCCAACCACGAACAACGCCACTTGCTAGTCTTAGCCCCCTCTTGCCACCCTCTTACCTTTTACATAACTGGCGCATTCAACTGCAGAACATTTTCGAACCAACGAAGACTACTCGTAGAAGGAACGGCCAAGTTAAGCACGTAAGTCAACATGTATCTACCCTACTCGCAATTGCCGGATCCGACGGAAAAGTTCGAGATCTATGAGGAGATAGCGCAGGGTGTGAACGCCAAGGTGTTTCGGGCCAAGGAGTTGGAGAATGATCGCATAGTGGCGCTGAAGATACAGCACTACGATGAGGAGCATCAGGTGTCCATTGAAGAGGAGTATCGCACGCTGCGCGACTACTGTGCGCATCCGAATCTACCGGAATTCTATGGCGTCTACAAGCTGAGCAAGCCTAATGGGCCCGATGAGATCTGGTTCGTCATGGAGGTAGGTATTGAGCACAAATTACAGTTTCAGGACTAACAACTGTTGCTTACAGTATTGCGCTGGCGGCACAGCCGTGGATATGGTCAATAAGTTGTTGAAATTGGATCGCAGGATGCGTGAGGAGCACATCGCCTATATAATACGCGAGACTTGCCGTGCAGCCATCGAGCTGAACCGCAATCATGTCCTGCATCGTGACATACGCGGCGACAACATTCTGCTTACGAAGAACGGACGTGTGAAGCTCTGCGACTTCGGTCTGTCCAGGCAAGTGGACTCGACGCTGGGCAAGCGTGGCACTTGCATTGGCTCGCCCTGCTGGATGGCTCCCGAGGTGGTCACGGCCATGGAGGCACGCGAGCCGGACATAACCGTGCGTGCCGACGTTTGGGCCTTGGGCATCACAACCATTGAGTTGGCCGATGGCAAGCCACCATTTGCCGACATGCATCCCACTCGCGCCATGTTCCAAATCGTGCGCAATCCCCCACCCACTCTAACGCGTCCCACGAACTGGTCCCAGCAGATAAACGACTTCATTGCGGAGTGTCTGGAGAAGAATGCCGAAAATCGTCCAATGATGGTGGAAATGGTCGAGCATCCATTCCTTACCGAACTCATTGAGAACGAGGATGAGATGAAATCAGACCTATCCGAAATGCTCGAGCTATCTCGCGATGTTAAATCCCTGTACAAGGAGCCAGAGGTGTTTGTGGATCGTGGCTATATTAAGCGCTTCGAGGAGAAACCGGAACGCATGTACCCAGAGGACTTGGCTGCTCTGGAGAATCCTGTGGACGAGACCATTTTGGACTCGTTAAGGAATCGCATGGCCTTGGGCGGTTCGTATAGTTTCATTGGAGATATTTTGCTCTCACTCAACTCGAATGACCTCAGCGAGGAGTATACCGAAGAAGTAAGTACTTGTAGCTACATACGAGTATATAGGGTATTAATTTATCTTTTCTCCGGACACAGTTCCATGCCAAGTATAAGTTTAAGTCGCGTTCGGAGAATCAGCCACATATATTCACGGTGGCTGACATCGCCTACCAGGACATGCTGCATCATCACGCGCCCCAGCACATTGTCTTCTCGGGCGAAAGCTACTCGGGCAAGTCGACTAACGTCCGCCTGATGATCAAGCATCTGTGCTACTTGGGTGCGGGCAATCGTGGAGCCACCAGTCGTGTTGAGAGCTCCATTAGGGCTATACTTATGATGGTGAACGCGGGCACCCCCGTGAATAACGACTCCACGCGCTGTGTATTGCAGTACTATCTGACGTTTGGCAAAACGGGCAAGATGAGTGGCGCTGTTTTCAATATGTACATGCTCGAGAAACTGCGTGTGGCCACCACGGATGGCAGCCAGCACAATTTCCACATATTCTACTATTTCTACGACTACATGAATCACGAGAATTTGCTTAAGGAATATAATCTGAAGTCGGATCGTAGCTATCGCTATCTACGCATCCCGCCAGATGTACCGCCCACAAAGCTCAAGTACCGTCGCGACGATCCCGATGGCAACGTGGAACGTTTCCGAGAATTCGAGGGTATTTTGCGCGATCTGGACTTCAATCACAAGCAGTTGGAGACGGTCCGTAAAGTTCTAGCAGCCATCTTAAACATTGGCAACATACGCTTCCGGTCATTGGGAAAATATGCTGAAGTGGAGAATACGGATATTGTTTCGCGCATTGCGGAGCTCTTGCGGGTCGATGAGAAAAAGTTTATGTGGTCCTTGACCAACTTTATTATGGTTAAGGGGGGCATTGCAGAGCGTCGCCAGTACACATCGGAAGAAGCACGTGATGCACGCGATGCCGTAGCTTCCACTCTCTTCTCACGCCTAGTTGACTTCATCATCAATAGGATCAATATGAACATGTCCTTCCCACGCGCCGTTTTGTAAGTCACATTCCAATAACACTTTTCCCAAAAACCTTTTTAGGAATCCTTTATTCCACTCATTCATTACTGTTCATGCCTTTGAAGATTTCTTTTAGATTCCTCTTCTAAGACCATCAACGACCCTCTACCCCTTTTGTAAGTTACACTCCAACCTTTCCTTACCATTCCTCTCTAAGCAAAGTAGACTTTGCGATCTTGTAGCTTTCTAATCTTTAATCTATCAATGTTCCTTCTAGTGGGGATACTAATACCATTGTCATCCATGACATGTATGGGTTCGAATGCTTCCATCACAATGGTCTGGAGCAGTTGATGATCAACACCCTGAACGAGCAAATGCAATATCATTATAATCAGCGCATTTTCATAAGCGAAATGTTGGAAATGGAGGCCGAGGACATTGATAGCATCAATTTGAATTTCTATGATAACAAGACAGCTCTGGACAATCTATTGACTAAGCCAGATGGGCTATTTTACATAATTGACGATGCTTCGCGTTCGTGCCAGGATCAGGACTTGATCATGGGTGTGTATTGAGCATTTGAAGCACATGCCAGATCTCTCAACTCTCTCACTGTTAGATCGCGTTGCTGAAAAGCACAGCCAGTTCGTGAAAAAGCACACTGCCACCGAGTTATCCGTGGCTCACTACACGGGTCGGATCATTTACGACACACGCGCCTTCACAGACATCAATCGTGACTTCGTGCCACCGGAAATGATCGAGACCTTCCGTTCCTCTCTGGACGAGAGCATTATGTTAATGTTTACCAACCAGTTGACAAAGGCTGGCAATCTCACCATGCCATTTGAAGCTGTGCAGCATAAGGATGAAACTGAACGCAAGTCATATGTGAGTCCAAGGCCTTAGATTTCCATTTCTATATCTTCCTATAATCCAAACTCTTAAAGGCACTTAATACACTAAGCGCCGGTTGCATTTCACAAGTAAACAATCTACGTACCCTGGCTGCCAATTTCCGCTTCACCTGCTTGACGCTCCTCAAAACGCTCAGCCAGAACATCCAGGATAACAATCTGGGCGTCCACTTCGTTCGCTGTATACGGGCCGATCTGGAGTACAAGCCACGCGCCTTCCACGCCGATGTGGTGCAGCAGCAAATGAAAGCCCTCGGCGTCCTGGATACGGTGATTGCACGACAGCGCGGCTATTCTACGCGTCTGCCCTTCGAAGAGTTTCTGAAGCGGTGGGTAACTCAGTTTCAGAAAGTTCTACGGACTCTCTAACTAATTTCCTTCTATTTACTTGCTCAGCTACCAATTCCTAGCCTTCGACTTTGACGAAACCGTGGAAATGACGAAGGACAATTGTCGTTTGCTCTTCTTACGCCTCAAAATGGAGGGTTGGGCTTTGGGCAAGACCAAAGTATTTCTACGTTACTATAACGATGAGTTCTTAGCAAGGTAAGATAAGCTGCCTGCCAAATCCCCCCCGCCCTTCACTGATCCACAAAATTGTCTGTGTTTTAAGATTGTACGAGCTGCAGGTGAAAAAAGTCATAAAAGTGCAGTCCATGATGCGTGCTTTGCTCGCACGCAAGCGGGTTAAGGGCGGCAAAGTCTTCAAGCGTAAGTCGCCACCACTTAGATCGCACTATCCATCGAACATCCCAGTCTGATCTCAAAATCTTTCATATTTTCATTCAGTGGGCAAAAAGGCCGGACATGATGAGGCTGCGGCGAAAATCCAAAAAGGTAAAAAATCCCAAGTAGATAAACTTAAAGAGTACGATGAGGAGCAAATCGATATAAGCGAGACGGCATCTGAGGTTGAGGAAATGTTTCTGGAGGCGCGCAAAGACGAGGCACTAGCTGCTGTGCGCATATCGAAAATCGAGCAGGCATCGGTCGACGATGAGAACTAAAGAACTAAAGCACTACCTACTATTCTATATTAACATACTATGCCTATATACGTATAAAGAAGCTACTACCAATAAAATATCAAAGTAACCAAGACCTACGTTTACACATACTCGTATAGTGAGCTTCCCAGGGTGTAGCCCATTGGTCTCGTCCAACCACAAGAACAACTTAAGCAGCTTAGCGTCATGCAGTAGCAGTACAGCAGTACAGTCCGAGCCCCCCTCTTGCGAAACGGGCCTACACGGTTGAAACTATTCGCAATCGGCTTATAGCACGCCACGTACATGAGAAGGGGAGGGAACCCTTGACAGAGATGAATTATAAGTGCTGCATAGAAAATAAATGAAAATTTAATTAAATTAAGGAGACATCGTTTTTATGTGTTCGGTACAATGCCCCGACCGCGATTCGTCCGCACACAGGCAGTCGGTTAGAGCAGTACAGAGACTAACACACTCCCTTTCTGTTCCTCTTGCCTTACAGCTTTCCGTGGCTTTCGCGATAAGGTGCGCATGCCGCCCCTAGTCAACGAAAAGACCGGACAGCTGAACGAGAACACGAGGGACTTTATACGACCATTCGCGAAGAAGTGGCGCGCAAAGTCGTTGTTTCAAGTGCTGCTGCACTACCGAGCGGCCCGCTTCCAAGACTTTGTCAACTTGTCGCAACAGGTAAGTCCCATGCCAGTTCTAAAGCCACCTCTACCATCTACTACTCTTCCAATTTCAGGTCCACATCTACAACCAACGCATGGTGGCCGGCCTGAACAAATGCACACGCGCGGTGCCATTTGAACGCATCAACATGCGGGAAGTGAACTCATCCCAGCTCGGACCACTTCCTGTGCCGATGAAGAAGATGCCATTCCGCTTGGACCAGATTCCATTCTATGATACGCAATATATGGTAGATCCAGCCAATTCCATATCGCGACAAACATTTCCCAATCACTTGCTCTTGTCACAAACCGAGGACGATGAACCCTGGGACAGTCCATTGCAACGCAACCCATCCATGACATCGTGCTTGATGACATACAATGCCTATAAAAAGGAGCAGGCCTGCCAGACTAACTGGGACCGCATGGGGGAGAGCGACAACATCTATAACCAGGGCTTCTTCCGTGATCCGCAGCAGCTGAAAAGGTGAGAAATGCTGCTCAGGCTGATCAGGATCTATAAGTAGAGTCGATAGGGACTAACCCATTTGATCCATCCACAGAAATCAGATGCAAATGAACATGAACGCCTACAATAACGCCTACAACAGCTACAACAATTACACCAGCAGCCCTTGGTCGCATCGTCCCGGTTCGCGTCGCAATTCACTCAAGGGGTATGCCGCACCGCCGCCTCCACCACCCATGCCGTCTTCCAACGCCTATCGCAATAATCCCAGTCAGCAGCGCAACTATCAGCAGCCAAATTATCAACAGCGCTCCTCTTATCCGCCTTCGGATCCGGTGCGTGAGCTGCAGAACATGGCGCGACGCAATGAGGACGATGTAAGCAGGCTGCATTCAACTTACCCAAAACATTATCTGACTCTCCTTCCTTCCAGAGCTCTGAGGACCCACCGTTTAACTTTAAGGCCATGCTGCGCAAGACGAACTATCAACGTGGCGCCGAGAGCAGCACTTATGACTTCCACAACCGCAATGATTCGGACACCGAACAGCACACATTTCAGGCGCCCAAGCTACGTTCCACGGGCCGGCGATATGACGATCAGGGTGGCTCCTCCAACGCTGGCAATTATGGCGTAGCTCGCAATTTCGGCCAACGTGCGCCGGCGCTACGACAGGCGCCCGCATCGGTGGGGCGCAGCTTTGAAGATAACAATGCCCGTTCCTTTGAGGAGGCTGGCTCCTATGTAGAGGAGGAAATTGCGCCTGGCGTTACGCTTTCCGGTTATGCCGTAGACATTTAAATCAATTAAAACATATTGTAATTGTTGGCATTAGTTTAAAGATAAGCAATAAAATTGTAGTTCAGCAAACAATTGCGACTTTGCGATTTATTGGCGCACGAAAAAGTTGCGAGTTAACATTAAATTAATATTACTATATATTTATACGCCTCACTGTAGTCCTAAACGCAACAAGAATACTCTCAGTATTACATAAACTATACCAATACATATATGTGGGTGTGTATAAACATTATAATCTAAGTAAGTTTTATATAGGAATGGAGTTTTTCACATAACAAATACTTTGTTGTTCCACGCATCGAGAACATTGCTTTTGATAAATTGGGGGAAGAGTTAATTTGAATTAGGTTTTAAATTCTAGCTGCCCATGAATATCAGGCGTAAGTTTATAAGTTCTTGAATATGATAAAACTGCTTTAAGCGTTCATTGAGTGTAAGACAATATCAATCATCCATGCCTGGTTCACGCAGTCCTTCCGAGTGCATTTTTTTGCCAGCTATTTCGAGCATCGCTCGCTCCTCCACATTGTCCAACACAGAGCGTTTCTGCACAGATAGAAGGAAAAGAAATTTGTAATATTAGTGAAATGTTTAAGCAAATTTGGAAGGCTTGCAAACTTAAAGACTTAATATATTTAAAGCATTGAAGACTAGTGTAACTTATCGAGCTAAAATAGTCATGGTTTCAAAATATTTTTTATTAAAAAGCCCATAATGAAAGAGCAACCCTAAGAAAGAATACTTTATTTTACACAAAACTTTATAATTAATTTGTATTTTGTTTTTTAAGTTCTGTTTTCATCGATATTATAAAGTTGTTCTGCAATGTTACCTTCAAGAATGTTGAAAATGCCAAAAACGAAATATATTTTGTAACCAAAAATTTAAAATTTTATCGAAATGTTTTTAGTTATGTCACACTATTTTAATCCAATTTTCTTCAGACTAGGAAACATCTCTTTTTATATTATATAATTTTATAATTCTTAAACCATTACTTTTCTATTGAATATATTTTTAATATAATCTCTACATTTTTCTTTATTTTGGGTGTACAGTAGCATGCAGTTTTTCAAAACGAATTAAAACCGTTACAATTCCTGATTTGTATTGTAGAAAAGAAGAAGTATGCTTCTTCGAATCTTATATATATATACTAAAACTATTAAGTATGGATATCTACTAAGTTTTTAGAAGCCACTACTGATAAAGTTATATTAGATTTACGCAAACTGCTTTTCAAAGACTCAAACAAGAACTATCCAATTTTTTATGATATGTTTATAAACCATGAAATAATCTCATTTCCGCTTACAACATTAATTATTACTCACCTGGCCATCGCCATCTTGGTCTTCAGTCTTCACCGGCAAATCACCGGCGGCCCAAACCTCCAAGTTACGTATTTTGAATTGCTTTCGTTTACTTAGCTGCACGTAGTCGCGATATGTGGTACAGCTCTCAACACTTTGGCCGTCGCCGAACATGCAATCGATCCATAGGCCCCAGAATTCAAACTGACCGCCCATACCCTACGCAATAATAAAAAGTAATATTAGTGCACTTGAATGAATAATTATTTGTTGTACATACCAGGCCATTCGGCATTGTTTGCTGATTTAAATTCAGATACTGATAATGGTCGTTGTAGCCCGTGGCATTGAAACAACGCATTGCCGGACTTAGCGTATACAAAACGGAGCTATCATCGCCACCAAATTGAGGCTTTAATGCCCACGACTCCGGAGCATAGCCGCCAAATATGTACTGATCCTCATCCTCGATAAAGAAGAGCGTTGGTCCCTTATCCATGATCTTGCCCAACATAGTCGAGAAACTTTCACCATTGATTTTCGATGAGAAGAGGAAACGCCACTTGTGCCGCAGCTCACGTGGCAGCTGGGCATTAACGAAAAGCACGTGCGGCAATTCGATGATCGGCCTGTAATGACTGCTTACCGGGGCATCTGCGGGAGCACAATAAAATCATAATTAAATTAGCAAACACAGCTGTGAGTCGTCTCGCGTCGTCTGCACTCACCACACAACTGCGGTAGTATGGGAATTTCCATTTCCTTAAAATGTGTGCGTTTGCTGCCACCATGACGTGCATACAACTGCACGAATACTTCCCGCCATATTTGCAAAAATTGTGGTGTCAAATGGAGCCAACGTTCCAGTGTCTCACCACGCATGGTGTGCTCCAGATCTTTGCCCAGATTACGCAGCAAGCCCTTCGCAAGCGTGCATGCCGAACGCTCTGTGCTAATAAAGCCCAAATCCTGCCAGTCCTTAATGTTTGAGCCCTTTGATGTGGACTCCAGGTGTACATAGCTCTTGATAACTGAATAGATGTACTGAAAATTGAGAACATTTTAATGAGTTTCAGATAACAATAGCTGCAATCAAAGTTGATAAAGTGACATTTATTTGTCATTATGAAGAATCCGCTATAGAAAACCAACACCAACTGCTTATCTCAAATTTGCTCAGACATTGTATGAGCTGAGTATCAGGGCGAAAAACGTCATGTTATTTATTATCTGTGTTTGTTTGAGAATTTTGATAAGCTGGTATTGTTTTTGACAGACATTTTAGGTAAAGTGTGGAAGATTTTATAAATCTCCAATGTGGAAGATTTAGTGGGTTTCATAGATTTGGCAAGAAGAGTCTTAACAGAACACATATGATTTATATAATGAAAGTCGAAGCAAAGACTTAAGGAAACTTAATGAAAGAACTCTAAAAATGCAATGCTTTCTATCGATAGATTTATTTTAAAGTACTTAAGGTTTTTGGACATAACTATCTAATAGAACGGCGCCAATAACTTACTGATAAAACTTAGTATTAGGCCGACAGTTCGATGGTAAGTATATAGTTTAATAAACTCTTTCAATTCGCTTCTTTAAAATTCTTGAATATTAAATTTGTCATAGTCAACATTCCACTCAGAAGATGTAACAAGTGTTCAAGATATTGATTTAATTTGAATAATAACGAAGCGGTTTCCCTGAAGAGCTTCCAATATACTTAGTATAAGGTTATTATGCATATCTCACCTGTTCCAATTGTTTAGTATTAAAGTTATCCGGTCCGACACGCTCTATTGATGACAACAGCATATGCATCTTCATATCAATCGTGCCGCGCTCCATAATATAATAGGGCTCAGCAAATTTTCTCACTTGTATGTTGACGCAAGGATGTCCCGGCTTTGGGGCCATAAACAAAAACTGTGCCGTGCTCTCTGCCAGCGAGCGTTCTATTGTTTGAGACCATGCTTCCTGTTTCCAATTATAAACAAAATGTTTGTGCGCATTAATAAAGGCCACAGCACATGAACATGAACATGAGATGCGAGCCCATTCGTTTTATTTTTAAACTCAGCCTGACTGACAGGCAGAATTTGATTAGTCAGCCCGGCCCGAAAACCCCCCCAAAAGAAAAATGTGCTGCGACGGCACATTCCCATTCCCACTCTCATTTACAAAGTCGATTGTTTACTTTAATTCAATTCTAGTGTGTGGATTGTCTCTAATCCAAATTGAAATTAATTGGACGCAAACGCGAACGCGCACGAACTAAATCACAGCAACGTCATGTTCATTAGTAAGTGACTAAATTAACCAAACAAATAGGAAAGAGCCGCGAAAGCGCACGGCAAACAAAAGTTAGGCGAGTTGATAAAACAGCAGGCCTCATAAACGCAAACGCGTGAGTTATCAATTATCAGTATAAGCCAAATAGATATACCTTGTCCTATAGTTGTTGGCAATATAAAAAACATATAATGTATTTGTACTTTATATACATATATATGTACATATACAAGTAGTATACATATGTATGTAGATATGAAGAAATGCTCGGACGTGCATTAATCATGCGTGGCACGTTGTGCTGTTTGCGGCCAAGTCAAGTGACTTTTATGATAGCGGCCAATTGGCCTTGACCTTGTGACCGTAGCATGCAGGCAAACGCATTGATTTTCAATACCCTTTACCCCAAGCACTTGCTTATGAACATACACACATGTACATACATACATACATACATATACATATGTAGATGCCATTGCAGCTGTGGCCGTCCTTCAACTTACCACCAAACGTTCTGCATTCAGCTTTTCCAATGCACCGCCAGATGCATTTTTGTAGGCAGCCTCCAACATTCGCAGCTCCTCAGCCGTATACAAGTCCGACTCCCTTTTACCGTTCGAGTTTCCCATTTTAAATGACTGACCGCCGAATTTTTCGTTGCCTTCGAGTTTGAATGTTCAGCGGCTTAATGACGACGCGACTCTCGCAAGAAAATTGAAAACGAAAACACAACACACGCACACTAATGCACAAACACACACGTGAGCAGTCGCTGTTCGACTGACTGCCGCCGCCGCTTTATTGCAGCAGCCGTCGCCTGGGCGGCATATAACTGCACTTGCAGCTGACTGGTACTCAGTACTTGGATTATATTTATTTCCTGCTGTGATCGCTGATTTCCACTATCTTTTCCCTTTCGGTTGTAACGCAATTCGCTGTTGTTTTTGATGTATGTAGTGGTGGAAGCTGTAGCACATCGATATGCCGCCAATGTTGTTATCGATAGCTCGCGACATGCGATGTTTTTGTGCGATTACTGCGTAAATGCTATCACCTCTAAGTAACGGAAACGTTTTAAATCAAAACAAACTGCTTTTCAAATTGGAAAACAAACATGTTTAAAGATAAGAGATTGTTTCTTACTATAAACTTTAATTCACTACCTTTTTTATATTTTATGTTGGCAGCTGCGTCTTCTTTCGATTGAAAAGCATTACATACTTACATTGAATCGCCACTTACTTTGTCTACAAGTCGAACACTGTCTAATTTCAACTATCACACTGGATAATGGAGTGAAGAAATATCTTTTGAGCTGTTCAGATCTGTTTAGAAAAGTGTTTACGAAAATGTTTTAAACAGTGCAGTAATCGCTGTCTGTAAATAAGTTTCAATCATACATATTTTTTTAGCTGCATAACATTATCAAATGCTGATTTAAGCAAAAAAAGTTTTGGTAACAATATTAATCGTTTCTTTTTCATTTATATTTCCTTTTCACAAAAATAAAAAATATATATTTAAATTATAAAAAATGGTTTAGAGAGCATATGAATTAAAAAAATGCATTAAATTTCATTCAAAATATATATAAAAGCCATTAATTATATGAGAGGCACATATCTAATGGTTTTAAATTGATTTTAAATTGAATTCAACCAGCCTCCTTTACATAGTAAAATAAAATAATATTTCTGTATAACATTTTTTATATTATTATAAAAATTATTATAGTAGTCGTTTGAAAGCTAATTGACCTTCTAGCTCTATTCTTTCAAGGAGCTTGATAAGCTCAACCGATTGTTTACCTTTTTTAAAGATGTTGTTATGGAACCGACCTGCACAATACTCTTATTTTTTTTTGTACACTCGTTGCCCAGCAACAGTTGTTATTTATCGATTAATGACTTCAAATTCAAATTCCTATACATTGGAAACACAAAATAAATTCCTACACACAAAAGCTCAACGCGCTAGAACCATTCAAAAAAAGGACATAAAAAAAGAGATAAATATAGTACAGGGACTGAAAGATGATTAGCAGCGCTACATCTAAGACTCAAGTCGGCAAAAAACGCGAGCAATGTGGCTCCTGTCCCAATCGCTTCTATCGAGACAAACGCCAAGTGGTTGCTGAAGACTCGGATACCACAGAGGTTGAGTCCTCCACTGATGAAGAAGATCGCTGGAAAGAGGTGGCACGAGCCGCCGAAATACCAGCCGACTATTACAACATACAGAAGCTGGTGAAGTACATCAAGGCGGGCAATCAGACGGCCACAATAGTATCGCTGTGCTGCTTGAAGGACTATGATTTGCGCACGCAAATCAATCAGTTTGCCATACAGGACATTGGCGGCCTCGATGTGCTGGTGAACATCTTGGAGTGCAACGATACCAAGTGCTGTCTGGGCGCACTCAGCGTGCTCGCCGAGATCTCACTGAACATTGACATACGCAAGACGATTGTTGATCTCGATGGCGTACCCTTGATAGTGGATGTCCTCAACTCTTCCATGAAGGACCTGAAGACCATGGCGGCCGAGACGCTGTCCAATGTTAGCAAAGTGCGCTTAGCTAGAAAATATGTGCGTACCTGTGGAGGTATACCCAAGTTGGTGGATCTTTTGGATATTAAGTTAAAGTAAGTGGGGGAGAGTTGGCAGAAAGGCTTCTAATTACCTCTAAAAGTTTGGCAACTTTCCAAGAACTGATTGACTAAGAATCTTGCGGACTCTTTCGACTCCTCAGAGCCCGCATATCCTCCTTAGGATTGGAAATATTCCAACCCATTATACCTGTTCACTTTGCTTCTCTCTCCAGCATTTTACAAACTCCACGGGAACTACTTGCTAGCGAGGAAAGAGAATCATTGGATATGGCACGCGCTGGCGCCCGTGCTCTATGGACCTTGGCCGATTCGAAGCACAACATGGAGCAGATGCGGAAGAGTGGCATTGTGCCGCTCATGGCACGTCTCCTCAAGTCCGTGCACATCGATGTGGTCATTCCGATAATGGGCACGGTGCAGAAATGCGCATCGGAGCCTAAGTTCCAGCTAGCCATTACTACGGAGGGCATGATAGCCGACATTGTGCTGCACCTAGCATCAGAGAACACGGACCTGAAGACGCAGGGCAGCACGGCCATATACAAGTGTGCCTTCGACAATACCACACGCGATTTGGTGCGTGAAGCGAACGGCTTGGAGCCGCTGGTCACCATCATCAAGGATAAGGCGTCACGCGATAATAAACCGCTGCTGCGTGGGGCTACTGGTGCCATCTGGATGTGTGCCATGTCGGATTTGAATGTCAAGCAGTTCGATTCCCTTCGTACAGTCAATCATTTGGTGGCCCTGCTCAATGATGAGTGCGATGAGGTGCTAACCAACGTAACGGGCGCACTCTCCGAATGCGTACGCTTCCAGAACAATCGTGAGGCACTGCGTCAGGCCAATGGATTGCCATCTATGGTCTCATTGCTCAACTCCTCGCACGCACCACTGCTCGAGAACTTGGCCAAGGCGATCAAAGAGTGTGCTGAAGATCCGGAAAGCATGCGCGTCTTAGAGGATTTGGATGCAGTGCGCCTAGTCTGGTCTCTGCTCAAGAACAACAATACTCGCGTGCAGGCCTACGCTGCCTATGCCATTTGTCCGTGCGTGAAGAATGCCCGCGAATCGGCGGAGCTGGTACGCAGTCTAGTGGGTGCCATGGAACTTGTGGTGGGCCTCCTCAAGTCTAAGGATATGATGGTTCTATCCTCGGTGTGTGCAGCCATTGCCACTATAGCCATCGATCAAACCAATCTAGCAATTCTCACCGATCTGCGTGTCATCTATAAACTGGCTGATTTGGTTAACACCACCGACGACCTGCTCCGGCAGAATTTGGCCGCTGCTGTGGCTGCCTGTGCCACCTTTGGTAACAATACCGAAGAGCTGGGTCGCCTCCGCACTGTTACCCCCATTGTCACTTACATGACCAGCGATGATCCAATGGTGCATCGCAGCACGGCTATGGCACTGGAGAAGTTATCTATGGATCCACAAAATTGTATCACCATGCACCAGGTAAGACTTCTAAGGTAGAATCTGGGTATGCCATTTCATGCTTTATACCCATCTCTCTCTCCACCCACAGAGCGGCGTTGTGCCCTTCCTTCTCGAGTGCGTCGGCTCCACCAACAAGGACCTGCAGTTGGCTGCTGCTGGTTGTCTGCGGAACATACGCGAACTGGCGCTGCGTGCTGAGGAGTACATGCTTAAGATTGACGAGGACTAGACGCCAGTTGCTGGGTCGGTCGGCCTTTCATCATCCCCCCATCATTAAGAAAGTTTGGTGTTTCTTGTTCAAATTGTTGCACGTGCAAATAAACGTAATCGGATTGTTTGAAAACATCTAGCTATACATTTATATTTATATATGGCGCTACATAAATTGCACTAACTAACCCCTGGACTGGCCCAACCCATCTATCCAACTATCCCATCACCCCCCGATGCTTCAATAGCTGGCATTGCTGCCCCGTGTTGAGATGCTCATGCGTCGCTCAACCCGATTTGTGTGCGGCAATAGACAACCTGGCGGCGGGTAACGCCATCTTCTTGGACGTGACAATAAAGTGCCATCTGTGGAGGCACGATTTCGAAAGGGCGCTTCAATGTCGCTGCGCGAACTGCTCAGACTGCTGCTTGCTATTTCATCTGTGGACTCGGTGTGATCGCTGTTCTCCTCTACACAGGTGCCACCGATCACTAGGAACGAACGCCGTCCGATTCCCAGCGAACCAGAGTCGTAGAAGGAACAGGAGCCCGAGTCTGGTGTCAGTACCCCATCTGTGGCATGCGCCACATCGCTGGTGGAACGTTTAAGTTTGGGAAATTTGGTGAAGACGCGCCAAAACCGAAAGACATCACGAAAGACGGACTGCACCTGAAAAGGCCATATAGAGAGCGTGTTAATTTTGATCGTATATTATATGTGAGGTTCCAATTACTGTACCCACCTGATCGACGCTCTCACGCACTGAGATCTCATGGAAGCAGGCGCAGGAAAGCTCTCGAAACCTGCGCTGCCCCTCCTCTAAGCTAACCATGCGATCGCCGGGCTGATCTGTCTTGTTGCCCACCAATATGACGGGTATGTCCAATGTGCAGTCCTGTGAAAAAAACTTGATAGAATAGGACTTTCGTACTATGTAGCTAGTTAGATAACAGTCCATAGATACTCACCTTGCTTGTGGAGCCCAACTTGCGCCGTCGTTTGTTATAGTTGATCAGAAACTTCAGCCGACTGCACTCATCGAAGGAGCACTTATCCGTTATGGAATACATAAGTATGAAGGCATCTGCCCAACGTATGTTAGCCTCCAAGCTAACGCCATCCAGCTCCTAAACAGACAAATAGTGTGCTGAGTAGTTTCAAGATAACATATTATATCCAGACTTACGTGAAGCTGTCCATTGGCGTCCAAAATGTCAAATTGAACCTGCTCCTTGTCCAGTGTGGTGTGGCAGGTGTAGATCTTCTCCAGATTCGGATCGTACTCGCCGATAAAGCGACGTGTTATGAAACGCACAACCATGGCTAAGGAATCAGAATGGTTCATTCATTGAGAGGCTGCTTAAGTCAGTTTGAAGGCATGCCGGCTTATATGCTTTACCCGTTTTTCCCACGCCGCTCTGACCCAGCACCATCACCTTAAGGGCCTTCTGTTTGCTGGTGTGCAGACCCAGTTTAACCAGCGACGACTTGGGCGATGTGGCATTCATGGCGGCCCGCTGTTGAGTGAATAAAAGGTTCAAGTTGCTAAATTCGTCAATTCGTCTCGCCCGAATAACTAAGTAACTTTATGAAAAGGAAAACTCTGTTTTGCATATCCTTAACCCAAAGTAACCTTTGCTGTTGCAGCTAAACCATAACCCGTGTCAAAACCGAAATAATAACGATCCCACTTTAGATGCGCCTGTTTACAACAATAGCTGCCAACTCGACTCCTTCTGCTTAGCGCAGCAATATTGCATATCTTTCAGAGTCGTACAGTGGTTGCAGTCTTGTGAAACAGGCAAAAAAATATTAAGTCTGCTTTTAAGCAATAGAACTAATACAACTATATGATAATGAATAAACTAATAAAATTAAATACGAAATAAATAAAATGAGCCAAATAAATTAAATAAAAAGTAATAATACTTAGATCTTCAATATACAGAATAATTCATACAAATAATTGTATTTAAAAAATACTAATTTAATAAATGAATGTAACTTATATAATATAACTAATATAATATAACTAAGAAAAACAATTTTAAAGAAATATAAAAATATAAAAATTAAATCAAATATATATGAAAAGTGCAATAAATGAATTAAATTAAAATAGATAAAGAATAAAATAATTAAAACAAGATAGATAAACAATAAATTAATATACATAATTAGCCTTAAGATAAAATATTATAATTGTTATAAGAAGGAAGCAAATTGTTTAATATAATAAAGTACAACACAATAAATCAACAAATAAATAATATGAATAATTATTATAAAAAAAAGTCATAAGTAAAAAGTAAAATTATTAAAAGCAAAATTATTTGTTTATGAGAAAACAAATTTAAGTTATTATTTTAAAACCTTGTGTATTCTTTTCTTTTCTTTTCTTTCTTCTATTCAAAAAAAAAAAAACAGTTTTATAGCCTGAAATTATTCCTACCTCTAATAATTTTTTCAATTATTAGATTGGAAGTATTAAAATCTTTCAATACGCTATAAACAATTTCATAATAGGGTATTATTTTGAATGGGGAAGTTTTTATCTTGTTCCCAAGAAATATAAATAATAATCAAAATTTTTCTGACTTTGTATGAACAGAAAATATTATTAGTAGCTTTAGCGAAACAATAATAAAGCTATAAAGAAAGCTAAGTTCCAATTTCAAGTTAGGCATGACCTTAAGGTAAAGCAAAACTGGTAAGATGTACGGCAAAGATGAAGAACTAAAAGTTTTAAGAAAAATACAAAAAGTGGGTGTGTCGCTTCACTGTGCTTTGCCGATAAAAGCAGAAGCAGGAAAAAAAAAGTTACCCAAAAGATGGCGACTGCTTTTTACAGCCATGTGTGCGGGTTCTATATATGGCTCTAAAGATATGTATGTTTGTGTGTGCACATACATATATGTATGTGTGCCATTAATAAGGTCAACAATGTCTGCAACAAAAACGACTGCGATGACTATGAAACATTTATTGGACACTTTTTGCGTCGTCGTTTTCATCGCCTTTGTAGTCGACAACGTCGTCGGTGGCCATCAAAAGCAAAACACGGCATGCCTCGCCAATGCCAGGGTCGCCAGCAGCAGGATACGTGGGCGCCACGCCTTGACAATTGTCAGCACATTTAGAAACAATTCGCTTTAAATAAATACAATAAAACATCAATTATCACTTGAGTGCCGGCAACAGCTACATACAAGTACATATCGCCACAGCTCTACGAGTACTACTCCTCCAGTTTTGTCCTTCGAGCTGTCAGTCACTTTACCAGGAATGCCACTGAGGCGCTCTTGATATGGGTGCCGCCACAATACGCCCATATATTTGTGTCTGTGTGCTCAGAGTAGACTTGTAAACAAATATTACGCTCGAGCAGTTCAACGACACGTGTGGCCCACCTCCTCCTGCTCGAGAATTACGCATAAGCCTTAGCGTCATTTACACTTGTAAGACTACACTCGGAAAAACAAATTCTATTCATTTCGGGCACAACAATAGCCTTACTTCCTTACTGTACTCAATGTGAAAAGGGCCAGATTTTTATAGCAAATAAAAGTGGACAACGAGTGCTCTGATATACTACTTACATAGCCAAAAAGCCAGAGTTAGGAATAAATAGAATTATAAGCCGTAAAGGAGAACTAGCTGCCCTTTATAGAGCACTTAAATTCTCTTTTCCCTTTTGTGAGACTCCCTATTTATAGCAATCAAGACACTGTAATTAAATTTCTTTGCGCCTGTCCTCAGTTTGTTTTTCTTATCCGCTTCATTCTCGCTTGTTATCAAATGCTTGGCATCTTTGGTAACCAGGAAATTTTCTTTGAAGCGTTTTTTGTGCTGCCCACAGCGATCAATAAGTGAAGGGCATCCCTTTAACAGCTTTGTCTTTTAAACAATTAAAGACTTTAAACTTGTTTGCCTGAGTGTATTAAAAAGTTAGCATCTATGCATACATCTAGCAGATTTGCCAGATGCCACGATAAATATTCATCACCTGCGCTGAAGGCAGGTGCCTGAATCTTGATTATGCCAGAGCGGAGACTGTCGCCAGACTTTACATTATGTTTGCTTGATGCGCAGTGCGTAGATTTTAATTAGTTGGATTTAAAACGTATACACGTAGATAGACAAAAAGATATTATAATCTGTTTGAAGGAGATGTGGAGGAGATGTTGGACGAGCAACTATGGCAACATTGTGCGTGCCTAATGAAGCAATTGGCTGGCGCCTTCATTTGCCCCACTGGCCAAATCTAATGATGCGCACTGAGTGGCATTATGTGCGAGTATGTGTAATACATGATGAGGAGCTCTGATTTTATGTGCATCAAGTGGCACTTGGAGTTTAGAGCACGTTATTGTGGCCAGCTTTGGCAGCTCTGGCTGCCTTGGCAGCTCTGGCTGCCTTGGCAGCAGCTTCCATAGACACTTTTAATCTCATTAGCCGGCGCAGGATGGACCAATAACAACAACAACAACAGCAGCAGTATCGGAAAGGTTTATGTGGCGCGCTAATTTCTATTTAATTATGCCAACGCTTGCTTACACTTTTCGAGAGATCTGCATCGGCAACACACGCTGCGGGTTTGGATTTTCGCACGCGCCTAAAAGTAGGCAACACAGAATTTAATTCCACTACCGGAGCCTTTTGTGCGTTTTTTTTTCTGCGCAGAAAGTTTTGTAGTCAAGGTGCGCGTCCGAGAGAATGGAATGGGGTGTAGAGGCATAGTAGTACTACAGAAGTATATGGCAGGAGAAGCATCGCACACTAATGAGTTCTCAGAAGTGAAATGTGTACACAAACACACAAATATGGGCAAGAACGGGGACGGGCTGTTCAAAGGCAACAATAACGCAGTGGCCCAGAGGGAGAGAGTTGGATGCTTAATTGAGCGACTCAAATTGTATTGCTTAGAATACAATACTGAGCAATAAAGAAAGTGCTTCACTTCGATCTCAGTCTGTGCGAAGCGTAATTAATAACATTGCCGAATTCCAGTTGATGATGAACCAATAATGGAACATCGCAATGTAATTGAATTCCTTTGGAAATATTTGTAGTTAAATGAAGTTGAAAATTAAAATTTTAAAAGGAATATAACATTACTGTAATTGTACTAGAGCTTAATACTTTTGCTTGTATGTGCAATATCTACATTTCATACCTTAATCATTCAAATTTACAGACCTAGCTTAAGAACTCCTTCAATTACAAAAAACCGGTGCAAGTAGGATTAATGAGAGAGCCTATAAAACAACTTGTTTTTGATTTTAGATCATAGATACATTTTATTTAGTATTCAAAATAAACAAACAAAATTGTAGTTAATAGCAATGTTTAAAATACAAACAGATTATTTTACAGTCGATTCTATTTGTATTTCGTTAAAATTTGTTGAACATATTCATATACGCATTAAAAATCCCATCACAATTTTGATTAATCAATCATTATTTGAGCAACTGAATCATAGACTCGGCAACAATAACAAAAACGTTTGCTTACATTAAATATTTTGAATTATTTGCTTTTACTTGACAGGAATGATTCTCATGTCTCAGATTTTATACCTAATGTAAGGAAAAGAACCTTGGCCATATTACAGAGAAAAATGTTTTCCATTACTATTAACAAGAGGAATAATATAAAGAAAAATCAACACAAAACAGCTTACATTTAGGGAATGCTACCTACAGTGCAGCTCATATGGAAACGAAGTGAATAATTGATTGAATAATGGAATTGATCTATTGATAATCTATTGATAACAATTTAAAATAGCCATTATAAAGGGAAACAAACGAATTTTCTACAAACAATATTATTTTTATTTCAGCAGAAAATGTGGATTTCAACAGAAACTGTGGCTATAAAACACTTATGTTGTAGTTTGAAATAGTAATTGCTTTCTCTTAGTGAATAAATCTTTAAAATATGAATTATAATTTGAAGAAAGTTAAATACATATGTCATTTGTTTCTCATAACACAATTCTGCATTATCAAAGTTATTTGAAAAGAAAAACGAATTTAACGATTTTTGAAGAGCAATATTGAAGCTTGAATCTTCTTTCACTTAAACCAAATTCTTCTAACACCCTATGAACAATTTTGGCCCGAAGCTTCTAAAATTATTTAATTGAAAAAATGAATAAACAATCCTTTTAACTTGTTTTTAAGTTACAAAAACATATCTCATGAAATTTGAAGAGCTAATTAAGTCCAAATCTCCCATACTTTTTTAGTAGGTATCTTAAACAGAATTCCTGTACAACTCAAAGGATTTGAAATTAGAGTCAAAGCTGTCTACTCGGAATATTTTAAACAGAATTTCCCTAGAACTCAGAGAGTCAAAGTCGAAGAATAAGGCAGTGTAGCTCATCTTTCCTTTACTTCAGCAAAATTCCACTACGACTCGATTTAAGGACAGACCTAAGCAGGACAATTATTAAATTATATGGTAGCATTGAATTTGTTCAATCGTGCGTTCGGTCATG